GGGGGGGGGGGGGGGGAGATGAGATCTATTCTGCAGTATATATATTTTTTGTGTTAAATAATCAGTGCTATACTAATATATATAATTTCGTGTAGAGTAAGAATAAAGGATGATGCTAAGTTCCGGTATGGTCTAGTGGCTAGGATACCTGGCTTTCACCCAGGAGGCTCGGGTTCGATTCCCGGTACCGGAAATTTTTTCTTTTTTTAAATACGATTTTCGTAAATATAGATGGAAGTTCATTCTTAAAACTGTCCCATACCATGATCCGGTATGGTCTAGTGGCTAGGATACCTGGCTTTCACCCAGGAGGCTCGGGTTCGATTCCCGGTACCGGAAATTTTTTCTTTTTTTAAATACGATTTTCGTAAATATAGATGGAAGTTCATTCTTAAAACTGTCCCATACCATGATCCGGTATGGTCTAGTGGCTAGGATACCTGGCTTTCACCCAGGAGGCTCGGGTTCGATTCCCGGTACCGGAAATTTTTTCTTTTTTTAAATACGATTTTCGTAAATATAGATGGAAGTTCATTCTTAAAACTGTCCCATACCATGATCCGGTATGGTCTAGTGGCTAGGATACCTGGCTTTCACCCAGGAGGCTCGGGTTCGATTCCCGGTACCGGAAATTTTTTCTTTTTTTAAATACGATTTTCGTAAATATAGATGGAAGTTCATTCTTAAAACTGTCCCATACCATGATCCGGTATGGTCTAGTGGCTAGGATACCTGGCTTTCACCCAGGAGGCTCGGGTTCGATTCCCGGTACCGGAAAATTTTTTTTGTTGCTTAATTTTTGTTGATAACATTGACAATGCTAGATTAAAATTTTGTTGTATAAATTGTACGACAAAACTCTCACAAAGCGAGAAAATAAAAAAAACTTGTATCGATATAGCAATATTCAAAATCTTATTAACAAAAAGAAAATGCGATAATAAGTTAAAGTACACACACACATATATATATTAGCGACTACATATTTTAATAGTTTTTATATATTGTATTTCATTTATTTAAAATTTGTAGTATGTTGAAGTTACTGACTATGCCTTGATATCCTATCTTTAGCGCGATCATACTCAATCCGGTATGGTCTAGTGGCTAGGATACCTGGCTTTCACCCAGGAGGCTCGGGTTCGATTCCCGGTACCGGAATTTTTTTTTTTTTAGTGCGTGTTAAAAATATACACATTTTATATAAAAACAATAGATTATTATGTTACATGAGATTATTTTAATATAATTTTAATAAATTTTTGTATTATCTTAAAGTGTTGTGATCGTATTCTATAAATTCTAATATAAATATATAAAGAAAAACGAATGAAAAAGAAATATTTGTTTATAGCTTACAATTGTGGATTATGTGCATATCTTATTATTAAAATTTATCATCTTCTATTATATCAATTATTTTTTACTCTTCAAAAATTTAATTGTCGATGAATAATGTTACTATTTAATATTAATATTAATTTAGTTAATATATTATATTACAACGTTTTTTCTCATTTTTTTCTTTATAAAAATACAAATATCTTTTTCACTCATATTTTTGTTATCCACATGACCACACCATAATCCGGTATGGTCTAGTGGCTAGGATACCTGGCTCTCACCCAGGAGGCTCGGGTTCGATTCCCGGTACCGGAAAGTCTACTTTTTTACAATAATTTTCTTGAGCCCAGACACAAATTCATTCTTTAAACTCCACCATACAGTGATCCGGTATGGTCTAGTGGCTAGGATACCTGGCTCTCACCCAGGAGGCTCGGGTTCGATTCCCGGTACCGGAAAATTTATTTTTTTATAAATTTTTTTGTACTCTATGAAGTAACATTGGTCATGAAGTTATTGTTTGCTTCATATACGTGTTTTTTTTTAAACTTAACGATTTAATTAAATTAATTGTTAGTTTCATAGTTCGTTTGTTTCTTCCAATGAAATAACAAGCAGAAGAAAACAAGTAGTAGTTGGATGTAAAGATTTCATATATTGCTATTAAAATATTTCTCGCGTTATCTCATTTGCGTAGATTTGTTTAGTCTTGATTTTATGATAAATAAAAAATGAGGACAAGTGTCAAAAACAGATAAACGACAAAAGCATGTCAAGTACGTGTTAAAGTCGACGTTAGTCTAATTATCTACGTTCTTATCACTCATTGCTTTTATTTTCTTACCTTAACTTGACCCACACACAATGTCTTCGGGGGCTGATTAGCGCGAACCACAAATTCTGGGCCCACACATTGCGCCTTATTGAAACATCTCATGGGCCCACCCACCGTTCGGTAAAGTCGCGATGGTGCCCTTTGCACTGCCTTTCCTCGTCGAGCTCTCGGTCCATTTCGCACTATGATTCTGAAAATATTTTTACGTTTATCCGAATTATCGCCAGACAAATGGCCGCTAAAGTGTATGCAAATCCCGTCAGAAGCATGCGTAAGAATCTATTATAAAACTGAGGTGAAATGTAATGACGACATGAACCTGTGGAGAAAACGAATTTGCGATTCTTCGCATTTTTCCTTGAGTTTTTCTTCGCGTTTGCGGTTGCCCGACTAATATGGATCGGGCCGGGCGGAACTTTTCATTTGGCATAACAGACCACGATGCGCCCAATTATGCAACGGACCGGAAAGCTTATGGCAAAATTTCGTAGATATTACGTTCGTTATGCAGCGACGTTAACGAACTCTCGTACTGAGTTTAATTAAATTCTAACTAGGCTAGACCTCGGATGCTCTTTTAGGGCAGTCATCACTAAGTGCCTTCTTGTTTCGTCTCTCTTTTTGCCCGTTCTCCCCTTCTCACCGTCTTCTTTTGCTCGCATCCGGACCCGACGCGAAAAGAACGCTTTGGAATGAAAGATCGCGAATTTTCTCTCTCGACCAAATCAATTTTTGCATCGCGTTAGAGTTGTAATGCTTGTAGGAGGAAGAGAGGAAGGCAAAGTTGAGGAGGGTGAACTCGCACTTGTTTGGATTTCTAAGAGGAAGTACAGATCAAGTTAAAACGCGTGCGCGTATGTCATGTTAATTAAAACGTTACGCTTGGGATAATTCATATCGTTACTGCATTTCGACGATACGTTATTCGAAATTAATTAAATATCTCCAGTGAAGTAACACTGGGCGTGAGAAGGAATTTTGTAAAAGAATCGTAATAGTCGAAAAAGTGCAAAAATTTCGTGCAGTATATATATATATATATATATATATATATATATATATATATATATATATATATACATACATACATACATACATACATACATACATACATACATACATACATACATACATACATACATACATACATACACACATATATACACACACACACCTTTAACGATCACTATGCAAGTAACTTATTTCCTATATATCTCACACTCTCCTCCGGGCATTTTGTGGAGACGTAGAATGGGTTGATGTGAACATAAAAATCCTATACCGTTTTGCGATATTCGCAATAATTATCGAGATATTAATTGTAGAAAATTTATGAAAGTAAATGATTATGCAGAATATGGTAAATGAGTTATAATAGCGATGACTGCCGTCGTGTACTTATACTTTAGGTCAAATTGAACAAAAAAGTCCTCTACCATTTTCCAAATAATCACATTGATTTTTAATTATTAATTAAAGAAGATTATTGCACGATTTTGCGTGATAATGCACTCTTCTTTAATTAATAATTAAAAATCTATGTGATTATTTGCAAAATGGTAGAGGACTTTTTTGTTCAATTTGACCTAAAGTATAAATACACGACGGCAGTCGTCGCTATTATAACTCATTTACCATATGCATAATCATTCACAAATTTTCTACAATTAATATCTCGATAATTATTGCGAATATCGCAAAACGATATAAGACTTTTATATTGACATCAACCCATTCTACGTCCCCACAAAGTGCCCGGAGGAGAGTGTGAGACACCCTATATAATTCAGGAGATATGTTTGCAGTGAAATGAATCTCAATTTGGTGAGGATAAGCTTATTTGAAAAAAATTCCAAACGTTGAAAAATTGCAAAAATTTCGAGCGGTACTCTCTAATGCTTACCGCGGCAAGTAACCGCGTTTCGTCGATGTTCCCGGAACTAAACTCCCACGCTGAATTTCGTTACAGTGCAACATTTTACACGAGACTTTCCCGCATTGTCAGGAGCACGCGGACGTAATTTTTAATTCAGCCATTAATACCGATTTAATTCCCGGCTGCAACACACCGCGCATCAATTTACCGCTCAACTACACACGTGCGCGCGCGCGCTTATGTTCCATTCCCGCATCCGACTAAATGTCATCGTAATATAGGGCTCTCTATGTAGCTCCTGCGAAGGTCAAAGGTTCGCCGGAGAGCGCCACGTTTCGACCTTTCCAGCGACGGTCGACTGGCACGCATTAGACTGCAACTGGCTGCATCATCCAGCTAGTTGCTTGCCGGGCGTATCCTTCGAAACCACGTTACGCTAGAGGTTGTGCTAGAGAAGGTTTCGCGGCTCTTTGCGAGAGATCGCTTGAGAGCGTTCATTAACATGGACGTATGACTGGGAGGCAAAACTTAATAATGCGGGTCGCACGGGCGCGAAGATCCTGGAACTGCTTAACGCCTCCTACGCTCTAATTTGATGATACCCGCCCTCGTCGCGAGATTGATGAAATTCCGGCCGGGCAAGTGCGAGGGTGCAAATATAAATTTCCGGCTCCTTCGTCACGTGGTCCGGCATTATCTTGCATAAAGTTACGAGTCTGCTCGTGTTTCGCGCATCAAATCGTGGCGTATCGGCTTCGCTCGAAGCAACCGACTCTTTCGCGAAGAGCAACTAACTCCTCTCACTCTCTTTAATTCCTTTCTTTCTCTCTTCCCTTGGAAGAGATATTGTACTAACGAAAGTAAAAAGAAGATCAATTAGAAATGCAAGTTGTACCGATAATTCTTTTCTCTTCGTGCTTGCAGAGAAAGAAATTGCTTATCGATTAAAATTTTATTCCGATAGCTCGGATAGCGAGCTCGCGGCCGGCCAGAACAAATTGCATCGAGAACGCGTGCGCTCTCGTAATGAGTAACGGCGCAATTCGTTACTTAAAGTCTCTGACGTGCGCTCCGTTTCCTTCTTTTCTCCCTTTCTCCTTTATCACGATACAAAGCTGATTTAATAGGTCACGGTGAATCGACGCGGATAATTAGGTACTCGTAAAAAGAAGTATGATAACGAGAGAAGGACTACCTACCTGGGGGGTTTTGCTGGCGGTTCCGTTTGGCTGTTACATTCCGAGTCGGAGAGTGCGGCTTTCCTCAGGGTGGTTATAATTCGAGGTGGCTTCGGGGGTCCTTGAATTCCCCGGAGCCTCATGGAAGACACTGGATTTTGTTGTCGTGTCGTCTGTTCTTCTTTACGCGCGACGACGTCGGTGCATCGAGGCTCGGTCGTCGCGACACTCGGCTGCGACAGCCGCTTGAAGTCCTCGTCAGCTTGCGTTCTGCTCGGCAACTGAGGGTTCGAGTGTTGCCTCTGCAGGCACATCCTTCCCGAAGGCGCTCGCCCGTAAATGTCCTCGCAAAGGCGCTCGTTCGTTTGCGATGCCTCGTCGGGCTGGGAGCAGCCGGTGTTCGACGGATGCCTATTTCGCATGCGTTTTTTAATGCTTTCGTGCACGAGAAGCGCGTCGCCAAGTGGCAGCGAATTATTTGTATTTGGTTCTCGTCTTTTTGACCGAAATGCATAAGTTTAATAAGGAAATCTTGCGATTGATAATCACTTACAGTGATTTATAGTGAATTGGAAACTACAGAATGAGAATTTATTTTCTTAATTGATAATTATATATAGAGTGAGGCAATAACTCTGTATATCTCTCAAATATCTCCGTTATTTTAAACATAGGAAAGTATAAAATAATCTCGAGTTGAGAGATATTGATTCTACTCTCTTATCTTTACTATTCCATTCAATATTTATTTTGATACTCTGAAACCTGCATCAACCTCTTTTGATTTTATTTAACTTACCTAAGTCCAAGTTTTGATCTTACTTTTAGCCTCGCTATTCTATTCAACGTCTATTTTGATATTCTGAAGCTTATAATCTATTTTGACGCTAAAGACCGGGTAAGAGAGTGAGAAGAGAAATTTCTGATATCATCAAAATCAAAGTAGAAGTAAATCGTATCATTAGCATTAAAACTATTTTTTTAACTTAGCTCCTACTGTGTTGTAGAATTCAAGGTTTAACATCAAGTCAAAATTTCAAAGCGGGATACCACTTAAAAAATTTAAGAGGACTCTAGATCTCCTACATATCTTTACTTGCAAAAGTACCATTACATCACGTTTCCTAATTATGAAACTTTTGTAGGCACCATTATCTAATATTGTTGGAAATAGTAGAGATATTCAAGACTGTGATAGTTATTACCTCATCACATATCCCCAAGTTGGGATGTATAAATTGTGACGAATCGTGTTGCGCAAGTTCGGTTTGCTCTTCCGAAGAAAGATTGTATATGGACTATGGGCGTATAGGCACCTGCTTATCGACGATGATCCGCCGTAAATATCGTCGCCGCGACGGGTTGCTGCGGGGGTTTTCGCCGACAGACCATTGACTCGCACGTCCTGGGAGCTCAAGAAGGGCTTAACCGGCAGGGCGTATATCGGGTCGTTGTAAACATCCCCGCCGGGATTACCGCCGTTCGCCGCGTTCGTCGTCGTCGGTAGATTGCCGCTGCTTCTGGTGTGCTGGAGTCGTGTGTAGACCGGCTGCGAGTACGTCCTCGAATGATGGTGTCTGCGTTGATGGTGGGTCGCCGCCGGTCCTATCGATCGGCTGCCGTTTTGGATGTCCAGTTGGGACTGAAACTGCACCCGGCACGCGCTCAGCGTCGCCTCCTGATGATGTTGCTGCTGCGGTGGCTGTTGTTGTTGTTGCACAGGCCCGCACAGGCTCGTCAAGTTAGGATGCGACTGAGAGTTGCGTGACTGCGTGCGAAAGCGCGCTTCCTTCATGTGATGATGATGATGGCGATGATTTTTCGGCGGCGGTAGTGGTGGTGGCGGTTGTTGCTGCTGCTGTTGTTGCGTGTGTTCTTGCTGTTGTTGAAGCGCACGAAATTGATGGACTGAGTGTTGAGCAGGGTCTTGTTGTTGATTATGTGACTGAGCAGCCGATGAATGTTGCAGGAGACGAGTCTGATGATGCTGAAAAGACGGCGGTTGACCATTTACGGGTTGAACGTGGTCCTGTTGTCGCCGTTGTGCTTGATGATGATGACGATGATGATAATGTTGGCCGTAGATTTTTTGATGATTGGACTGATCGATGATATTCCGCGTAGAGTGCAGGGTGTTCAGCTGGTAGTAGATTGCTCGTGTCCGCACGGCATATTGCGGCGATCCCAGAACCTCCTGATACATGTCCATCACTATATGCGTGAAGGGCTTCGTTTGTAGACGTGTCCGGCAATACTCGGATATTACCTGGAAAATGAAAACGTGTGCAATATCGTGTCGTTGTCATATCAAGGGGACAAGTCACTTTTTTAGATCAAAAGAATCAATAATATTTACGAATTTATTTAAAAAAACAAAAATAAAAATTCGAGTTCGAGAGATTATAATTATATTATTTGATAAGAATTTTTTTTATTCTCTTGACTGGATTATTATGTAAACGTAAATTATGCAAGCCAGGAAGACACGTAATAGTTGCAGGTAATGGATACTGTGATGTCATTTTCGTACAAAAATTAATTATAAATTTTTTAATGCACAGAAACATTACTTAATTGCATACATAAAATTTTAACATATTCACTTAGTAGTTTGTTTTAAATAAATTCAGGAATTTTTTTAAATTATTTTTACTCTGGAAAGTAATTTATCGACTTGATATCTGTGAGGAGTAACAAGAATTGAATAGTAGTGAAAGGAACATTTCAGTAAATCTTCTTCTCTCTATCATTGATAGAGGAAAATTTGTCCATGTAATTTTGTAATCTCTCTCTCTCTCTCTCTCTCTTTCTCTCTCTCACTCTTTAGAAGTACAAGGTGGATTACTGTCTTATGTGATTAGGATGATATCAGATAAACGTCGGGGCAAATTTGGAAGTTCGTAATAATAGCGCGGTCGAGGTCATAATATGATCGCGTCGATGCGTTTATCGCACTACCCGGTGTGCCGATTATCTAGTTTTGAAACTTCCGCTTCGCAGCAGACGAACTATTAGCTTAAGGGAACAATGGCTATAGTCGGAATTCTATAGATCCAATAAACTGTGATTCGCGAGGTGAAGCGTTACCTATTAACGCGTCATTGTGTCCTCAGCGTTGGTAAACGCGAAACTTTGCACCGATCCTCGATTTTAAGGAAGAACGATAGAATATAGAGTTTGGAGAATAAGGGAAGAGATCACATGAATCCAGAAAAAGAGCCGTAGAACGTAAGCCCGCGAGATGAGACTGCGAGACAGCTCTTTCTCCTACTCTTTCTCGCCTTTCATTCTATTATGATGGAAATTTGCCGGCTCGTCAAGAAAACGGGCAGGTGTTAATTTAGGACGACGTTAATTCGCTGTTCCATTGCGCCGAGAAATATAGAAATACGCAACGCGCTGCCAGAGTGATAGTCGTGTAGACTATTATTCTTAACAAATAACAGCAGATGGTGCCCCGGTGGCTATCAGTTCGTGCCACGACTGCATCCACCGACACTCCGTGGCGTGGTGGTCCCAACGTCTTAGCCCCGGTGTGTTCAGCCGCTGAGCTGCCTTACGCTTTATCTGCGCGGATAGATACCGCCAGGCAAAGTAGGTACTCGAGCGGCTAATTTATTGTCCGCCGAGGAATCCTCGTAGAAATTGCGGTTCCGCATTACGCTGCATGCCGCGTGCTTCTCTTCCTCTCTCTCTTCCTTCTCTTCCTCCTTCACCTGCCAGAACTGGCCGATTTCATCAATTTCGAGGGTTATCGGGTTATCGGGGTTGCAGCTGCAGAATTATCGCGGCCTCCGAGATAAACGACTTATTACACGGCGGCCGCCTCGTTCCTCGCGCGCGCGATAACGACCGTCGCGTTTTTGGGATTGCTGGTCGTTAATCATCAGGCTCAACGAAATTATCATATAGCCGGAGTTAACCCTTGTAAATGCAATTTCACGTCTGGTATCGCGCTCGAGTCGTGGGCCTTTCGAGTCGCGTTAAAACTCTTGGACGAGATCCCCGAAATTGAACTCGCGGAGACTGTTCCGCGAATTTATGCCTCGTAATGTCGCGACCCGGTCGTTTAATGACGTGCGGCGTTCGCATCAAGTAATCCCTGGAGAGCGGGATTCAGACTCGTGGCTTTGTGCGCGCGTGGATTGATCAGTGGCTCTCTATGCTGCTCTTGTGCCGCCAATCGTTTCAGTTTTTCTGCCGACTCATGTAATTCGTATTATCGATTCAGCTCGTTAAGAATCGAATCTGTGCAGCTTTTGTTCAGCTTGAGTTCAGATCTTGCGCATCTGTTGTGCGCAATAATTGCAGGAAAAGCGCCGCATCTTGATTGGAATTCCAAGTAGTTTTGCTCTTTAGTTACTGGAGAACACTTAACATAACTGTCCAATAACTGCTTGAAAGGTGCACTAAATTTCCACCAGGGATGTCTCGCGTAGACTTTCCACTAAGTCGGACTCGACGCGCGGTAACAGTTGAACGCTTTAACGATTTTTCACTTGTGAACCGCCGACGTTGAACTACCTTCTCCTCGTCGGGCCAAGTCTTCCTTTGCACTCTACGCGTTCCAAGGGTGGCGCAGCTGTCGGAATGTCGGCCGAAAAATTTCGGAGGCATCTCGTCGTTCGCGTGCTTTGTGGAAACGCGCGCGACATGCGGCGTTCTCCTCTCGACGCGTCCAGCTGCGTGTTGCAATGTACGACCGCATTCTCGACGCGCGCATTCTCTCATTTTCTGCCTCAGCTCGTCCTAATAATATTTATATACAAGTGCGGCGCGTCGCGGTATTACGCGCACTTCCCGTCTGCTTGCTGTCTGATTATCATTTAATTGCGCGCGGTGGTGTCGCGAAACCATCATCTGCGATTAAATTCCATCTCGCCATTTATATCCCTATAAATGACGCGATATCCGACGAATAGGAGTGTAGAAATAGCCGCCGTGCGTTAAATATGCATCAATATCGCCGGCGCGCGATATTAACGTAACTGTCGGATCTGCGAATTGTCGCGCTGGCGTCGCACTTGGAAAATGTGCCGCGATTTAGTCGCAGCGCGACAAATAGAATTTTGATTAATATCGGCTTCGTTTTATTTATAATGGAATAGATTACATGCGCGTGCGGCCAAATTGATAGGAGCTAATTAAGCGCGACGTGACGTCTGTCACATTTATAGTTTGCACAACGCTTATTTATTTGGATCGCGCGTACAAAGAGCATGCGAAATTATCCGCGTTGGAATTATCGCCGACGCTGGGTTAAAATGTTGTAAAGATAATGATGCGTGTGAATATGGCATGCGCGAAGTGTGCGACCGCGTTTTCGCAATCGGACAACACGTTTTTGTAACCATGCGGAATACTTCCCTGTATCCATCGCCTGTATTATTTTTGTTATCTTTTTCACGTGGTATCATTCGAACGTGTTATACCGCTGAGTTATATATCCGAGCGATTATACCGCGGTTGGCGGTTGCTGATTCAATTGGTTTTTATCGTATTGCGGTGTTTTATATGTACTATATAAAAAGGGAGGATAATGGAGGAGAGCGGAAGCTTCGCGCACGTAACATTGTTCCACACTGAGAAAAAATAAATAGGTTGATTTAACTAAAATATATATATATATATATATATAATTATTTTTAACCACAACCATATGTTTTATTGTTCTAAGACGAAAGTGGTAGCAGCAACATGTATATAAGGTTATTACCACTAATATTATGGTAGAATTTAATTTGAAAAAAATTGTTTCGTTGTTTAAAAATTGTTTTTTTTCCACGATTTTTAGTAATTTATTTTTCTGTGTGATTATAGTTACAAATATCAAGCCTTTTTTCCTCAGTGCATATTTTCTATTAATTTTTTTCTCGCTATTGAAAAAAAATACTTGAAAATTTATTTCTGAAATATGAAGTTTATTTCTGTGAAATAAATTTTAGTTTTGTAAAATAAAATTTATTTTTGTGAATAAACTTTATATAATAAATTGTCAAGTATATTCTTTTCTCAATGTAGCTCGAAAAGGATAGAACGGAAGACAATTTCGTTAGACGCGATCCGTTTACACAACTTTTTAACTATCAACGCTAAACAGCTCGATTGTCAGTACGGCTATCTTGCTAAGTAATATAGTAAATTTCGTTAGAAACAATAGATTTTGTTAGGAATATAGCAAAGTATTTTAAGAATGCATTTCAGTTTCTAAAATATAACATATATGAAAAGAAGAGATAGTGAATTACTACAGAATATCTATCTATTCCTCACTTATAAAATCATATAGCAATTTTTATTGTAAAATTATCCTCGTGTATTTAATTAGAAAGTTTCGGAGATCATCTATATTAAAAACCTCTTACAACCAGGTTATCATAATTTGATTGCGCGTCAGTTTTATCGTAAAATTATTCCGGAAACGTTTTTCTTTTTTTTTTTTTAATTTTCGCTGGCACGTGTGTTCTATCGTGGATTAAATCGTGTAGCTAATTAGATTTCGCCGTGCGAGATCAAACTCTAAATCGTCTCCGATTCCACTCGTTCTTCGGGACCCACTTAAGCCGCGCGTGCATTCGCCGTCGCGTCGCGACGTTGACGTCTGTATTCCCTGTCAGTCGGATTAACGTGGCGCTGTAACGTGGGACGTCGCAGGCGTTCGCCTGCATCTCCAAGTGTCGTCGCATCGCCTGTCTCTCGATGCACAATTGCCGCGTCGCGCTTTCCCTCGCTCTCTTCGTAATAGGTGATCCGATTAAAGCGAACTACCGTGCAAGTCTGACCGCGTGGACATCCAACGGTTGATGTGGGCTGTGATTAAGTCTACGTTGGTTTATCGATTCATCCCGTATGGATATTGCCGAAATCTCAGATACGAGCCACGTGGTTGACCAGTGCTCGAATTGAGTTACACGCCAGTGGGGAAGATTCGTCTCGGTATGCGATCACTCGATTTGATCCGTGTGCTCCCTTAGGCGAATAATTCACCGAAAAACGATCAAAGAGAGATACGGCTGCGGCGTCGAGATTAGATGCAAACCACGTAGTCGTCGATTGCTTGAATGAGGTTACGCTAGAAGAGAAGACTCGTCAGAGATTGATCGCTCAATTTTACCCTTTAATTGAACCGAGCTCTTAATCGAATGATTCGCTAAAAGAGGCTCAAAGAGAAATACGGCTCAAAGAGAAATACGGCTGCATTTACCACAAATCCAGTCACGAGATGAAAGCCGCAAACCGACACTTACTTTGACATTTTTGCGCGACAAAAATTGAAATTTCGATACACAACGCAACATCGTATAACTATTTGCTATAAATTGCTTTGTTATTCTAATTGTGGAGACTTGGTCTCTCCTTCTCTGTCTCTCTCCTCGTCTCTCTCTCTCTCTCTCTCTCTCTTTCTCTCTCTCAGTTGCGCGTTATGCGCTTTGCATGTATACGCGCAATTTGGGTCCGACACAGCTGCTTGAACCGTTGCACGTTCGCGCGACGTTGAATTACTCAGCATTCGTAATCGTGATGTGGAAATTAATTTCGCTATGCGCTACTTGGAATTAGATATTGTTGTTAACCGCGGAACATCGTAGTCACACAACGATATGTGTCGAGTAACGTTTCTCGAATCTGTGATACGTTCATTCACTGACTTTCTTTGGTGCACCGGTCACTCGTGAAAGCGTTTAATTTAATTCAGCCGGCGGTATAATGCGGGATTTCATGCCAAAGTGCATTTAATGTCTCGTATTTCAAGGATGCTTTTCAAAATAACGTGTTTTAGGGAATTTACGAATCTCGTCTTTAATAACGAATTAGATAATAAATAATTGAAATAAATTATCAAATTGAAAAATTGTAAATTATATTAAACGACCAAAAATATGACATAATTTATGACTCTGCACAGTTTGGATGACTGGACAGAATATTATCCTGGTAGAAATTTAGACATCTGTCTTAGTTATTGTCTAGTATTAATGCATTTTTATTAGTTGTAAGAATACTGCGTAAAAACTGAAGAAGAATTTGATAGTTTCATTCAGTGTTTGAGCAGTTTACTATCCAATATGTGGACAGATTTTCTTTCTAAGACACTAATAGACAAGACACTAATATTAATTCAGTTGTATAATATGCACGTATATATAATTGTATTATATAATCTATTGTACATACATTTATTTAAAATATTTTTTATAAAAGATATTTTTTGAAAAAGAGCTTATAAAATTGCGTTAATAATGAGTGAACGTGTAGAAGAGCATTTCTTGCAAAAGCATAAAACAGAAAATTGAGGGAAATAAGAATTTAATATTAAGCCATGTGACAGGTATAACAATTAAAATTAAAAATGAAAATGAACAAAAGACAAAATAGAAAATAGAATATATATTAATAATATAGAATTTCACTAAGAATATTTTTTCATTGGACGATGTGAATACATTGGACTACTCTGATGGTAATAATAAAAGTATAATAGTAAAATGAAAGTTGTCATGATAGCTCAGATTTAGAATCTGATGAAATAATGCAATCACAAGAATAATTAAAAGTACATGTTATTTCGTGATTGTAAAAGATGTTATATGAAAGACGAAAAATATGAAAATACATATAATTACGCACCAAGTATTTCCTGTGCTTTGACTTTCATTAGCATAAAATTTTTTTAATTAGAAAGCATGCGTAAAATATGAAATACTGTTAAGGCAAACTTGCTTGCTTTATTTTAGCAACATACTAGATTATTAATCGATTGAATAGCTTTTTGTTCACTTTCTGTTTTGTTTTCGTTCAGTAAATGGGTTCAGATTTTGCGCATCTTTCGCGCTTAATAATTCAGTAGTATTCTATACCTCGATTGGGATTTCAAATAGTTCTACCCTTCACTTACAAAAGTTAATATAGCTATTTAGCAAGCTCGGAAACTGCGTTATATTTCTACCAGAGTAAACCGATGAATTAATATAATTACCCGCAATTGTGGCGAAAATATTTGCTCGCCCGATGCAAACGTGTTGACCCGACTAGAACGACATAACCGTAGGATGGAGAAATGTTTAGCGAAAAATACACGTGAAAAATGACTTACATGTTGTATGCAACGCGCAGAATGAAATACCGTGCGTTGAAGGATCACTAGACACACGATACCCGTTGATTTATTTCGAGCGGCCGCTAGTACACCACACACACAACGAGACTCGAAATTTTGAATTGTACAACCGTATCTGCGCTGTCCAAAATCAGTAGTTTCGCACTTTTATTAACGGACTGTACATCCCGCACAATGCTCGTAGTTGTGTAATAACGCAAGCGTCGAGTGCGTTCCCACTGATGACAAATGAATCGAGTGCGACAGCCTTTTGAAGGGCGCGAACAATACTTAGAAATGCACTCAACAGTCAGATATCATTCCATTATTCGGTCTCGATTTGTAATGAATATCATAAGTATAATTAGCTGGGTAAAAGATGCTGATATTCTCTTGGAACATAGCTTTGCGTTAGACGGAAAGAGTCCGTCCAGATTCAGGGACTTACGTCGAGTAGATTCATCAAAGAGGCACGTCTGCGAGGATCAGGTTCCGTCATGGCAGCCAAAACCGACTGCAGGGCGGAGGAGGGCGAAACGGAAACGGTTCCCATTAGTGCCGCTACTCTAGGAGTTGTATCTAATAACGCCCGTCCTAATGAATACATCCACATCTGCAATCAGGATAAAATTAATTTTTTTTTTTAATATATTGATATCAATTAGAGAATACGGAATAGCAGTTTGCATCTCAAGTTCGCAGAATGCTTTAAGATTGTTAGGCATACAAACGAATATCTTGTATATAGAGTGGTTGAATTTAGGTGTACGACTATTTAGATGAACTTCGTTAAGCTAAATATAAGGATGCTCTACAATTTTGGAAACCACCACGTTAATTATCGAGATATTAACGAAAGAAAATTAGTCAATTGGTGATAGGAGCTCTGTAAGTATTTTAGAAATATACATGTCTTGGACTTGTTCCCTGATCTTACAAAAGCGATCTTACAAAACTTGTCTCATCACTTGGCATTCACTCATTTGCTAATTTCCTTTCATTACCTCAATCATTATGGCAGTTTATAAAATGGTAAACGACTTTGTTGTTCAGTTTAATGAGTTTAATCTGCGCTCAGATACCTAAATTTAGACTTTATATAAGGGAAATATAATCTCTGAGGAAACACATTGAGTGGCAAGAAATACTTTCACTTACGAAATTAAAAAAAAAAATGCAGTTTCTTATTCCGCATGGGCGAAGGTGTATATTGCGAATACTGATAAATAAAGGAGCGACCATCCCGAGAAAAGATATTCTTAATAAACCCTTTTGTGCCGGCTAAATTGTATATCGCACGTCGAAGGATAATGCATCAATCTCGCGGGTCTCGACACCGAGCCTGTTCTCATCCAAAGCGGATTTAATAATCGGATTTTTCTTATTTTCACATGGGGGAAAATATATACGGGCATGCGCGCACATAAGCATGGAGGATTATGTGTGGTAGAATATCGGATATCGATATTTTCAGGAATCGATGCTGAATAGTCGATGGTCTCATCAATGCCACTACAAAACGTCGTCTATTTACGCGCTTGTCCGCTCGGTATATTTGAAGGATCAGCATTGATGTTATTTGGTATTTCCACTTAACACGTCAGATCTGTTTTACATTATTATATAAAAAAAACTATATAGTGTGTTGAACAGATCCAGATGAACTGTGGTGCATTCTGAGAAAAAAACATGGTGGTGGTAACTATATAGGTGAAAACTGTGCGAATTTTGTACGTAGAATTAATATGTATATAATTTAATCAATTATTTTGTAGTTCTTCCAACTAAAAGCTAAAAACTAGAGCTGAATGGTTGTGAGAACTCTATAGTTAATGCATAGAGTTCTCGATCATTCAGTTTTAGTTGTAACAACTACAAAATAGTTTATTAAACTCTGTTTATCGACGCATTTTAGTTGCACATGCAAAACTCGTGCATAGTTGTCACCGCTGTTTCCCTAAATGCAGCGAACGCGTGTGTTAATATTCGCGGAATATGAAACAGTAGCCGACATCAGCAGGATGAAATAAAACGGCAGGCACATTGCGAGTAATTTTATATCATTTATTTTACACAATTTTTAAGCGCTACGCGCTTTGTTGTTGTTTTTAATTACATTTACTAGCGCGTTTCGCCCCGTCCATCAACAATGGCATTTGCCGGCATACATAATTAGAAATGTTGGGAACGCGCGCGCGAGATCTTTGCGGATTCAAGCTATAGTCCCTTTCTAGCTCCCTCATTTATTTACGCGAGGAGAAAAGCGACGGGAACCGTCGTTGCATACTCTGTTACGACACTTGCACGACTCTCACTGTGCACCGCGGTGTCACAGAGATCATTCTGACAGTTCGCCCATGTGTACTATGTTACGCGGTAAAAAATGTAGACGTCCGCCGGAAGAGGTAGCGCTTTTTCGCGCTGGTCTCGTGTATCGCGCAGGTAATCGTCGTTCATCGTGATATTATGGCCGCCGCGGGCATTTTGTGATTTTCGGCAAGAGTGGTCATGTCGTACACGTCGAGGATAAAGGTAGAGAATTCTCTCCACCTCATCGATAGTTATTAACAGTTTTAAGTATAATTATTAATAACTATTGATAGGGAATTATTCGATAATTTTATGATTTCTAAGAAAAATCAATGATAAATAAATGTACCCATTTATTTGTGTCTCTTTTTCATCTTATTATTAATTTATAATAGTTAATTAGGTTCCGGTTGATAGTGAATTGTTATATAAAACTAATCAAAAAATTTTATTTTACACTAAATATATATAAAATATAAAAAGTATAAAATATACAAAATATAATAAAATAAGAATAAATAAAACAAAAATAAATAAAATAAAAAATATGTCTGATTCATGGTATTGTGCTGATAGTACGCGTCGTTGTAGCTATTCATATGTGTTTCCGTTATTGTTGTTACACATTAGATTATTTCACAGAAAAGCGGCAATTAAATTTTTTCTTTATAGTTATCAAACATTTGCTTAATTCTATTATCCAAATTTTGATTCAGTATATCAATTTTCTTTCAGACAACAAAATCCTTTTTCAGTAAATATTGGGAGAATTTTGGGTTGTCCCACTTAAAATCGTGTTTAAAACTTTACACTTTCACCCACAATTATTTTGGGAAATCGGACTAGACGTCCAATTTAATGTATTTATTAACGTATACTTATAAATATATATCTTTCTTAACTAGATGCACTTGTTAATACGGAAAAAATAGATAAATTTATAAATTGTCAATCAAGTAATTTAAAATATTTTGTTGTCAACTATTTTAAAGTAAGATTGTGAAGAAAAAGAACTATCGAATCAACTGTTTATTTTGAACTATCACTAGTTACCGATAGTATAAACTACCGATATTTATCGATAATGCCATCGATAGTTCACATTTAAATGAGGACGTAGAGCGCATTATTGGTGACGTATCTAGGACATTTCGGGCTGAGGGCATAATTTATACGTGCACTCGAGATCAATCGAAAATAGTTTTGGTGACTTGTTCTAAGTTTTCCGTAGTTTCCTACCGTGTAGCCGGGAAATGGAGCAGGTTGCAGAAAGCTCGCACGAAAGTTTGTCGCACTTTCCCTCCGTTTTATTACGAAAAGATTTCGCGAGCAGGGACAGAATTTCTTTTTGCGCCTTTTTGACTATTGCGAGCGTTCCGTCATATAGCTGCGGGATCACTTATCTTCAAGAATCTCCAAGAAGATTGTCCGTGTTACAGAACGTGTGTTCAACGAACTGTTAATTATTTACAGCCAAGACGCGCTACACGGTTTATGGTAATTTTTTCTGCACACACTACGAAGCCGTGGATTTTTTCGATTATCTTCTCTCCGTGCAAATCTCATCACGGCAAATCGGAATTTCCCGATATTTCCCGATATTTCTGAACTTTAAGGCATCGTTAATGAAGTTGTACGGTCCGCTTTATTTGATCGGGACTGAATATTGCATTTTAATGTTAATCTGTGCAACGGGAACGGACAGAAGGCAGATTGAATAAGATTCTTTAACGAGTTTTATTGAGAGAACTTTTGCATTTCACATTAAATCAATACTTTACAATCAAGACAACCAATATCCTTCTGTGTCGCGAGCGCGATAGGAAAAATATCCTTTATTCAAACTTACTATGTTTCCTTGCTGTTACTTTTAAGCCGGGAAATGAGTTCCAGTTTCTGCGTAATAGAATACGTGCAAATTGATAATACTTGATTCTATAAAACGGCTTGCATAATATTTCTCTGCTGTCACAACACTTACGTGATTTCCGTCTTTATTGGTATTATATAGGGTGTCCGGTAACTCACAGAGGAGCCGCGGTATACAGGATTAGATTAGGTCAAACTAAACAAAAAATTTCTTTATCATTTTGCGAACAATCACGTAAAATTCTAACTTATTAATCAAAGGACATCTATGAATAATCACACGCAGTACGATAGATGAGCTGTGATGACAACGTCTGCTGTTGTACGCTTGTATATTGAATCAAACTGAATAAAAAATTCCTCTTCTGCCATTTTCCAAATAACTATGTATATATTTAGTTATTTATTTGGTTATTTAGTTATTTGGTTATTAATTAAAAAAGTTTGATGTACAGTTGTGTACAATAATGTATTGATCTTCTTTAATTAATAATGAAACATCTAAAATTGATCATTTGAAAAATGGTAGAGGACATTTAGCGCGTTGACGAGAGAAGATCGGATCTAGTTGACTCAAGAGGTACGTAGACCGTGTACTTTGTATATTTATCGTAAAAGAAACAGAATGGAAACGAAATTGCAAAATGTTCCTTGCAAAGCAGGAACATTTCCTGAGTTTCCATTACATTTTCCTGAGTTTTTCATTAAAATCGTGAAAATATTACAATTAAAAAAAATAGAAAAAAATTTATTTAAGAGCAGCTGAATAAATTTTCGAGCGTCTTGGAATTTCCTATTAATATTCTCTATCGTGAATGAATAAAGTTAAAATTATATGACGCGTTATTAGTTAGAATATAATTTCGTGTAAGTGTATGATTTTTTCGTGCGATAAAAACAATTTTCACTCATAAAATAATTGAATGTGAATGAATGGGATAAAGTTGACTCGTTATTAAAGAATCGGCAAGACTGCGAAGACTTCTTGTGAAAACGCCGGAATTACTCTAATTAGGATATACATTTCTTATTCTTTTACTCTGAATTGCTGGTCAACTTGATCCAGCACGGGGTAAGATGACTATGTTGCAGAATATTTCGTATATTTCGGTTATTATAGAAAAAAATTTTTTTTAAATATACGGTTTAGAGGATCGTTTTGCAAGTATAAAAACATAGAGAAAAGTTCCCTTTATTATGTCTATGCAGTGAATCACAAAAATTGATCGCCTGAAAAGTGGTAACTTCGAAATGTGCCATTCAGCCCCGATCTTCCCTACTTATGACGTCGCGACTAGATTTTGCGTGATCTTCCGCAAGAGATTGAATCCGGAAAGCGCAAAAGCTCCTACTCGCTGTCCCCTTTTTGCGCGAGATAGTGTTATTTATACTCCTACACATAAACCCACAAATAGCAGCGCTTGTGCCGTCGAATCTCCGCCGTAAACGCGGGGGCTTTTACTGCCACGTGTCTGTGTCAATGTATTTACGAACTGCGCGCGATGTCCTTCCGTCATCGCACGAACGTAAATTACGTCCGATCGTCTGTTCGCGTGATTAACGAGCGATACGGATGCCGCGGAATGTGCATGAGGGTTTCGCTCTCTGCGAGGACTTATCTCCTCGTTAGATGAACGAGACAGCGGGGAAGGGTGACAGGGGAGGGAAGGATGGAAGTTTCAAATCGGCGATACAAAAGGACGATGTCTGCCGAAGTTTATTTATCGTGCGCGCCGTTTGTTCTCCCTTTAATCTGCAGCAGATAAATACCGGTCGTGCTGAAACAACGAAGCTCCATCCGGCCGTCTACGGGAAGAAAGGATGGCGCTAAAGGGAACGAAAGGGATCGCGGCGAGGTAGGAGAGGCGCCGAGAGAGCGAGAAAATCCGTCGAACGCGGGGGTGGCGCGGGGTGAAAAATAGATGGCGCGAGGAGGGAGGGAACGCACAGAAGCGACGGGATTTCGCTGAAGGTACACAAAAACTGGCATGAGCCGGCTTTCTCTTTCTCTCTCTCTCTCTTTCTCTGTTACGTCTCTCTTCGTTCTTCGAGTCTTTCGAATGGTTCGCAGCCCCGTTAAAAATTCACTCGTCGCTGAAACGCGGAAGTCGAGCAAATGAAAAGCCCGAGCCGTCAAAGGACGCCCGTGTCGGCTTAATCCCTTTCGCGCTGAAAGGATTTTAATAGGACACGTTAATAATTCTCCGCGTGATGCTCTTTTAATTATACCATCGGCCTCGCCCCCTTCAGCAAATACACTACCACTTACGAGCGCGTGTACGCATGTAATTCACCGGCGCGAATAACGAAGCCGCGTCTCTCTGATGAACGTGTTTTGTCCGACCGCTTCTCGCGATTGCCATATCGGATTGAGCGCAATCATTCGACCCTGTTTCGGATATATTTACCGGATATTTACCTTTGTGGACACAATATCGCTACATTTGTCGGATATCATATTACGCGAATGACCAGTCGCGAATTTGCTCCAGCATTTCGAGGAAATGATAGAGAAAAAAGTCCAAATATGAGTTATCACTCCTTTTCTTTTTAATCTCGAAATGTCTGAACTTGTCTGGGCGAATTATGCGCTATTAAGCAAGTGGGATATGTCTAGTTCAATACTTGTAAAGGAGATGTTTTTAAAATGATCGGGTTTTTAATTATTCATTTTTTTTCTGAAAAAAAAAAAGAAATTTGCACTGTTTGGAAAAGGGCTCCAAATATGAGCTATCCCTGTACTTTCAAAGTAACACAAGATTTAAGGTAATTAAGCATATTTTATTTTATATTTCTCGTAATATTCACCGACAAAAATTGCATAATCATCTGGCCATCTGATGCCTCTGTATAATGATTGTACATCCATAAAGACCACATAAAATAAACACTATGTCTACAATTTTTTTTTGTAACATCAGAGAATGTTGTCACAAAGTAGACAACTTGCATCATTATTTCGTGAAGTGAGATATGTCAACTTCACTTTTCATTTTCGAATAAAAATATTTACTCGACGATTCCGATTGGAAAATTGGATTTATACGAGTAAAAAATCATTCGTATTGGAATGGCTCACTCTACTCTTACAGTGAAGTTCAACTGTAAGAAATTCAGAGAATTCGTTATATATGCTACACTTTGGAAAAAATTACTCAAATGCTTCTCAGTAGAGTTTAGCACTATACAGAATCAAAACACTGGTAGGAGTCAATATTTGGACCGTAGGCCATATTTGGCCTACCTTTTTCCTCTGATCATCCGCAGATCCTGCTGATCGAAAGAGGTAGGATTTTTTTTTCTGCGAATATGCACACGACTTTGGGAATACGCTGTGCCAAATCTCGCGACACGTCGTGAACGTCAATTTCCGTTACATCAAGAAACAAATCAGCGACCAAATAGCGGAAGTTCGTTCCGAAATCTGCCAGGCCGTTGGGCCTGCGCAAGGTGCGCAATTCATTTTTTATCAGATTAACGGCGCGTCATTAAGCGTTGCTGAATGTGACGTACTTTTTCCGAATCCGTGTCCGAATAAACGCGGCCGGGTCGATATTCTGGCGGCAGGTACGCTCGAGCAGTTTCCGGCGGTGCAAGCTGCAGCAAAACCCTACCACGTGGTGTCAGTTCCAGCGTATGCGGAGTCACCACTGGGCCTGTTCTCGAACCACCCACTACGCCTCCATCTGGAACAAATATTAATGGGAAATGTGAGCTTGTCGTCGGCCATGAATTTATTTCCATTCGGTTGTTCCGAGTAGCGCGCGGAACCGGCGGAGAAAGAATGTCTTTATATTGTATAAAAGTATTTCACGCTTTGTGAGCGAAATGAAGATAATTTTTTTCGATAATTCGAAACAAAAATGGTTACGAACGCAATCGTAATTGCTTTAATAATGCAGTCCTATTAAAAGTAACCTTCGGCTTTTTCAGAGATAAAAGTAGCGCGGGACATTTAAATGCAAAATTGTACGTATGCGTGTTCTTTCCTATTAAAAAAGCGACCTATCTTCTTTTCACAGAGAAAATTTCTATGCGATATTTTTAATATCGCGGAAAAAGAGTGTAATTTGTTAACCCTTTATTTGGCAGATCCAGACAATTTTAAGGAATAATATTCTTGAATGTTTACATATTGTGAAAAGTAGATGGTGTCTCTTCTGAATGCAGTTGTATAGTTTTCAAAATATCATTTTAATTTTCGACGATTTCTATCTAGTGGTAGAAATATTGAGAAACTACTGAAACACATGAACAGAACAGACAATGAAATTGTTGCTCCAGAGCAATGGAAATGTTCCTTCAGAGCAACAGTGTTAAATAAATGCGTCCTGCATCTATCGTTCTCGCGTTGTAGCTCATGAAAAATTGATGTCGCTTGAGAGCAACATTGCCAAATGAAGGGTTAAATATTCAAGGGGTGGCGCGACTCCTATTGTGAAGAATTCTCGACGCAAAACTTCCCTCGGCCCATTAAGTCGCGCGACGTATCGGCAATTGCTGTGTATTGGGAAACATTTTCTTTCCCTGAAGATACCGGCCGACGTGCTATAATTCACCGGCGCGCTTTGCATAATTTGTCGTACGAGTCGGCGATTGGTCATGCACGCACAAAACTGCTTATGAAGAGAGCTGAGGTTATAATTAATTCTTCGAAGTATAGTTAATAGGTGGGGAACGGCTAACAGGCTTAAAACCAGTCGGAAGTTGGTCGCAGGTGCGCGCGTAGGGACTCCCACTCGGCGACGGGATTTTCCGGAAATTGCCGGGTTTATTTATCGGACCTGCGCGCACCCCTACCATCTTGAATCATTTATTATCGTTTGTTAGGCACCATCTTCTTCTCAACGTCCGCGAGCTGTCTCCTTGGGGCTTCTTGGAATCGTATAAACGCTCGGGGCATAATTGAAGGGAAATCGGGTCTACGTTGGGAAAGATTGAGGAAACCGCGAAAGACCCCCATCGAGTTCCCCTCTCCCTACGAATTTCATCGTTCTGCAAACTCGCGATCGTGTTTTTTCAACGACCGCCTGGATTCGCGTCTCTAATTGCTCCGACGTCGACTCCTAGATGGTTACTCATCGATCTCTTAAACTTTTTTCGATCGAGCTAACGGCGGAAGGTCGGTCGAGATTGCGTTTCCCTCGCAGTTTCTATATCAAACGGCCGTAGTTATTAGAGAAGCACCACTGTTAAGACGCTTCCCTAGAGAAAGAACATCGTATTTTGCACAGAGAAAAGAAGATTTCTTCAAATTTAATTAATTTTATTGCATCCAAATCAATTTAATCATCGGATTAATTCAAAGGAACTACGTCAATCAATAAGTATGATTGCTTAACTTTTTAAACAATATTAATGTTCGATATAAATAATTTATTTATTGTTTGGTTCAAAGAAGAAAATTGTTTCACTTAATTTTCTCGTTTTACTAAAAAATTTTCACAATTTTGTTGAAGTAACCTTAAGAAACTTCTTCTTTCTCCGCATTACTGGCGATCTCTTTTTATTATGTTCTCGAGAGTGCATCCTCTTTCCCCGTGATTTTCCATCCAATACTCATATTCAATCATTTCGTAATACGGTCAGTCATCTTTCTTGCTGACCACGATATGGGTCGCTCAACTTCAACGATCGAGCAGGATTTAGTGATTCCAACCAACTCGAACGATATACTTATATAGCATTACGCTTATAATGTATTCTTATAGCGCCCAAAAAAGATTTTCTTATGCCATACTGGTAACCATTGGAAGCAATGCAGCAACGGTCGATATATAACGAATATTTACAGAATGTACATTATGGGATTTGTGATATACCTACTCTTGGATTTTTAACCAAATATTTGGTCGTTATTGTAAATAATATATTAGATTGAAAGACGAAATACATATTTAAAATAATAGTTTTTTTGCTAATCAAATAATTTAATTCAACGAAATAAAATTGGAAATGTAATGAAACAGTATATTATAAGAATTGTCTTTAAACAATAGTGCTTTTTTCCATTAAATATGGTTTAATTTAACATGAACCAAAATATATGTACATGATATTTGACATAAAATATTATGTTGTTTGATATAAAATTATTTTCGGATCAAACAGATAGAAATACTAAATAGAATATAAGAAAGATAGAAAGAATCCTTTCTTTCGCGTAGATCGATTTCATTTCAGCGTCTTAATAACTCTCGAGTCGTCGTGTTTTTCACCGGGACGCTTCTGTTTAATGGCAAACAGTCTGGTCTGAAGTGCCGGACCATCTATTGTACGTCGCTGCCGTTATAAATCCCATATAACTCGCCATTGGGGTGCTAATTCTGTGCGTGTCATGGACATTAACAGCCTAATGGTGGGCTAAAGCGCCTTGACACGGAGAATATTCTCCCGCGAGTACGCCCCAGTAATTATAGGCGAGTGCTTCGACTGACAAATTCTTCCCTCTCCGGTCCCATGGGACTCTGGAGGAAATTAGCGAAGGCTATGACAGAATCGACACGCTAAACGATTAATACCGAGCGCGCTCGATTAACTGCGGTTAATAGCCGCGCAAGCACGTAAATCATCGTCGCGTCTTGTATTGACGGCGATAACGACCACACCGTTTGCCCCGTGAAATATTTAAGATTGATCGTGTCATTTGTGCAGATTTCAACAGTAGAATGCCCAGGAGCAACTCACTTTAGATGCCAGAAAGAATAGCTACTTCGACTCCTTCACGGAAAAGAAAAATTAGCTGTGCCAGCAAGAATCTGCGCGTGTTAGTTAAATCTCTTTGTGACACGTAGACATCTATATAAGAGTGTAGCTTCCAGTATGGACATATATTTAGTCATGAAACTGATGTACTGGCAAAATTTTTAAACTTAATTTATAATGTGTTCTTTTCTTTGGTCTTTCTGATTCAAATCTTAAAACTTGTTTTATAATATATCTTTGCTTCCTGTTTTTTTCTCTTTATCACTTTTTGACTTAAACCTTAAATCTTAAGCCAAAAAAAGACAGGAAACAAGAAGTAGAAAGCAAGCAAAGCAAGCAGAAAACAAAGAGAACATTGTAGACTTAAAACTTTGTCTACAATGTGTTCTTCGCTTACTGTCATCTTTTATATTTTCCTAACTAAAAGTTCAAAATTTAAATCAGAAAGGATTAAACTTGATCTATAATGTGTTATTTGTTTTTTGCTTCTTTCTCTTTATCTCTTTCTGACTCAAACTTTAAGCTTTAAGCCAGAAAAAGATAGAAGACAAGAAACAGAACGCAAAGAACCTATTGTAGATCAGGCTTTAAAAAAGTAGAAAGCAAAGAGCATAGATTGTAAGTAGAAAGCAAAGAGTATAGATTGTAAATCAATCTATAAAACCTAATCTATAATGTGCTCTTTCCTGTTTCTTGTTCTCTGTTTTTTTTAGTTTAAGGCTTAAGGTGTAAGCCAGAAAGAGGTAAAGAAAAAGAAACAAGAAGCAAATAACACATTATAAATCAAGCTTTAACCAGACAAAGATAGAGAACACGAAACAAGAAAGAAAGAGTACATTGTAAATTAATTGCTTTAATTGCAGCAGCAAATTTTTTGTTGCAACAAATGCACTTTCATCAAACCACGATTGTATAATATTAGCTAGATCAACCATTTTTTTTCTCTCAGGGCTTGTGAAATTTGATTGCAGTGGTGATGCTCGCTGTCGTCCATTTGCGTGCACGTCCGTCGGTGATGCGAGCTTCGATTTTTTTATCCTTTCAGTAGTCAATATTCGCGAACGTTCGGACAGCTTTCTACGTGAATCTGAAATCGGAGACGGCCGAACGGTAAGCGCTTCCGACGATAAACTATTTCCGTTCTCCGAAGATTTAAGCTCTAAGGAAATTAGGAGGATCTGAACGGATCGACGTGTTTCCTGCTAAATCTCGACTAATCTTCAGGTGGAGGCGACTCGTGTAATCACATCGTCTGATCGAACACTTTCACGTCAGTTTCGACGCTGAATACGTGGAACGGCGCGGGATCCGCTCTTCGCCGTAAATTGCTTTCATTTGAAATTCGCGATACACATGTGCACGCGTTTTTGGGAAATAATCGATCCATTTTTTTTATTGAAACGTGTGAAAAAGATTTGCTCATTAAATATCCTTTTGTTTCTTGTCGGTTTTTTTTTTCTTTTTAAGTGTTGATCTGCACATGTTAATTATCGGTGCCATTTGCATTTTGTTGTCAGGAAGAAATTTGCCGGGTGAGCTGTGCGCTGCGTTGCACACGAGCCTTCGCGTTATCTATCACTGTCGGTTTTTGTCGGCAGCCGATGTTTCGTCCAATGTTGCACCAGTAGTCGATCTCTGTAAACGACCGGACACGCTCGAGCGGCGCAGTTCGATCACAAAACGAAGGCGCGACTTGCGCTGCGCCGTGTAGGACGCAAGAATCACTCGAAACTAATGACACGGCAATCTGCCTGCAGCAGACACACGATGCATGCGAACACAAAATGCAAGCTCACTGCTCGTAGAATGTTTTGCTCGGCGAAAATCAATGGACAATATGCGGCCGGCACAGAGAGCGCGGCAGTTGTTATTTGCGGAATTTAATATAAAATTGAAAAATTACACGCGTGCGCGCGGGAGGAAATGTGGTGCGTGCATGCGGCTCGCTTCTAATATTTTTAAAAATCTTTATTACTTCGTT